GGGCAGCGCACGGCCCTGCACGCGGCGCGGGGGGGCCGCGCACGGCCCTGCACGCGGCGGCGGCCCCACGTGTCACACGGGACCGTGCTCCCAAAACATGGTAGCAAGAGAGATGGAGTGGGTAATACGGGATTATGACTGGATGCTATGGGATTGTTGTTGAGTAATGCGGGATTATTCTTGAATAATATGGGATTCTTGGAATATGGAATTCTTATTGAAACTATGGGATTATTCCAACATGGGATTATTCAGATATGGGATTATTATTGAACACTAGGGGATTCTTGTAACATGGGATTTTTACGGAATACTATGGGATGATTAATGAATAATCTGGGATTCTTGTAATATGGGATTCTTATTGAATAATATGGGGTTATTCAAACATGGGATTCTCATTGAGCAATCTGAGTTATTCAAATATGGGATTATTGTTGAATGATGTGGGATTATTCAAACGTGGAATAATTTACTAATATGGGATTATTCATTGATTGTAAGGGGCCGGAAGGGACCTCACAAGATCATGGGGTCCAGCCCCCTGCACCAGGCAGGGAAGACAGTTGGGGGTCAGGTGACCCCAGCGAGGTGACCGTCCAGTCTCCTCTTGCAGATTTGATTGCATAATATGGCATTATTCAGACATGGCATTATTACTAAACACTGTGGAATTATTATTGCACAATATGGAATTATTCGTAGGTGTCAGGGGCTGGAAGGGACCTCACAAGATCATCGGGTCCAGCCCCCTGCAGTACGTAGGCAAGACAACTGGGGGTCAGCTGTCCCCAGCAAAGTGACCGTCCAGTCTCCTCTTGAAGATTTTCTATAATAATATGGAATTTTTCAAAGATGGAATTATTATTGAATGATATGGAATTATTATCGGCAATATGGAATCATCAAGACCCATTTCTAGTGCCCGGTAAGGACTGGGGTCTTTATTGGGTGTGCTCCTTATCACTGATTTAGCGGAGAACTTCAGTGCGGACGGCACCGCCGGCCCCGCTCCGGATGGGAACCAGACCCAGGTGTATGGTTGTTTGACTTGATGTTGGCAGGTTCTGCTTTAGTTAGTACACCTTGTTGTCGGTTTAATCATTTGAGTTTGTTTAGTTATTTCTCCCACGCACTCTCCTTTTCATTCGATTTTGGCCAGTTTTTAACCTAATGGATAATCCTGGCAATCTACAACGATGCCAGAAACAGTATATCACGAACCGCACCGGAATCCACCCACGTCTTCCTCGATGGGAACTATAATAAAGGTTGAAAATCAAGTTTTGTTATTTGGGTCAACGCCAGTTATTTCATGTCAGTCACTTAAACCTGCATTAGTAATAATCGGCGCTACAGGGATTACTTGGGGCCATCAGAGGCTGTAAAAGTGAGTCACACTGTTTACGTCTGGCAGTTCAGTCTTCCAAGGGGGAAACACCCAGGTTAGGTCAAATAAAAAGCGAGAGCGAGGCAAAAAGGCGAAAAGGGTGGCATAGCGTCCGCTTTTCAGTGTGACTCCTTTCCTCCCGCGGCTCAAGATTGGCACGAGCGCTGCCGGGAAGGGCCGGGGCGGGGGGCGCGGGGCGCGGGGCGCGGAGCGGGGCCGGGCGGCTCTGCGCCGGACTCCGCGAGCAGGGATTCATCCCGGCCGGGCGATCCTCTTCACGGACATTTAAAAAAGGCACGAAGAGCAAGAGAGGGCGAGGCCGCTTTCCTGATCTAACCTGGGAGCAGAGAGGCCTTTTGCGTCTCCACGGCAGTCGTATCCGTGACGGCGACAAGTCACGTCTGTGCGCCGGGACGATTCGGAGAGGAGGAAATCGTCCTGTAAGTGTTGCATCAAAACAGGGAATGCCAGGATAGCGTGGCCCGGATGCGTCCTGAATCGTCCCTAGACGCCCTGGGGCGCTCCCTCGCTCCGGGGCACAGCCGCGCAGCCCCGCGCGTCTGCACGGCTCTGCCGCAGTGTGTACCACGCCGTGCACGCCTGTTGTACCACGTGTACCTGCTGTTGTGCGCACAGTTGTACACTTTGCACCACACTATGTGCACGCCTTTTGTACCACATTTGTACCTGTTGTGCGCACAGTTGTACACTTTACACCACACTATGTGCACGCCTTTTGTACCACATATGTACCTGTTGTGCACACATTTAATACCGCATTAGGTGCACGCATATTTGCACCACATTTGTACCTTTCATACCACACCAGGTGCACGCATTTTGTGCCCCATTTGTACACGCGGTGCGCGCATCTTGTGCCGCGTGTTGTACCGCATGTTGCGCACACATCTGTCCCTTCTGCACCACGCCGTGTGCACCCGTGCCGGCCTGCCGCGGAAGCGCCGGGGAGCGCGGGCGCGGGGGAGCCGGCGCTGCAGGTGGCTCGTGCTGCCCGGGCTGCGGCTCGGCCTCCCCGC